TGCTGATCTCATCTGGTGTAAAGTTCGAGCTAAGATTGGCGGATACACAGTTGCTAAGTTCATTTGTGCCGTTATTCCAAAAATATTGCACTAAAAAAATTGTACGTACGGTGTTACGTAAAAAAATGGAACGTAAAAAAAAGAACAAAACACGCGATCGGATACGAAACCGCCGCTGTGGTGTGCCGCTGGAATAACAAATAAACGTTAATGAAATTTATCAGGCACCTACGAGGCGTGGCTAACTGTGTCCCGCTTCCGAGACAGGGCTATCACAAATTATGTTAAACGGTAGTGACTTCGGTATGTGCCCTGAAATACAATCATAAAACTAACCACATGTGTTTCGACTACACCCGCTCTTGACCTGACCTGAACTACAGCCCGTCTTCCCTAAAATGTGTGACTTCTAGCCTTTTGTCTTTCCCCAGTTATTAATTTTGCCGTTAATTGCGACTCTTTTAAGAAAGTGAGACGGAAACAAAGATAAGGACAAGCAAGCGGATAGTTCTGCTGATATATTTTGCTTTAAATATTAAATTACGTTTATCTATAAGCAAGCTCACCGTACCCATAGCACAGGGCTGCACGGGCAACCCTACCCGTCCTCCATACAAAAAATTTTTCGCCGATCGTGTAAGACGCCAGCCGAGCCGAGCCGAGTTTTAGTAATTGCTCAGTTTATTGATTGCACGTGAACACACTTGACCATTTGGATGGTGCAGCACTACCGGCCTGATTTCATCATTTCTACCTTTTTTCAATTCTATCACTTTGCTAAGTTCCCACAGATTTCTAGGTTGATTTTCTTCCTTCACTGGGACGAATTCTTCAAGCCGCGGTATCTATGGTGAAAACATTGTTATTATAATGGGAGGGGAGGGACTCAACGCTTCGCCGAATTTCTTGCTTCTTTGATACCGCACTAGCTTCATCGGTCTTTGAGTTCGTCAATCGTCTCGCACCCACCGTTTGCTGAATTTGAAAAGCATGCTGACGCACCATTTGAGATATCGGCATCTATAACAGAACCAAATCAGCGCTATCATCAGTGCGCCACATGCGAGTAGAGCGCCGATTGCCCATGGTCTCCGATTGTTTACGATCGCATTCAGCTGGTCTTGGATTTGTTGTGTTGCTATTGATAGTCCGCTGCTTAATTCCCGCACAGCTTCTTCGCCCTCGTTCCTCAGTTCCTCCAAGGAAAACCCATGTTTTCGGACTTCTGGTGATTCATCTTCTTTCATCCTCAGGCTAGCGATCACGCCAACAGTATTGCGTAGCTGTTCAGTTTCGAAGCGAGTTAGTACACTGGAATTGAATATAGTTGCGGGCGCAAATACCGATTGATCGCTTGGGCACAGAAAAATAGAGAACGTATTACTTCTCTTTTTTGCGAAAATATTGTTCCTTTGTAGGACCATGCATGCGGCCAAAGTTGGATCCTGCTTACCTAACCACTGGATGACTGATAGCAGACTGTTTCGGTTTATAAAATTTTGGTAAACCGCACCACTCACTTGTTGCTTGAGTTCCTTCAACTGATCACGACGCTTTGAAATTTTGCATGCTCCCGATCGGGTTGTTCTTTAGATGCCAATTCTTGCAGGAACACCGACTCACCATTGGCGAATTACGTCTTTTCCTGCTTCTTATAGACTCCTTGCCTATTGTTATTATTATATCGCTCGCCATAAAGTGAGCTTGCGAGATGTTACAGTTTTTTGGATTCTTGATCACATCAGTGAAACTGAGTGCCGTTTGCATCCTATCCAGTAACATACGTTTTCCTTTTATATGGGCCTCGTATCATCCGACGCACTCGTACGGGCAACCCTTTTGAAAGTCGTCTCGATTCCATGTGACTGTACTTGATTGTAGATAACATTTTCTGGTGCTCACAGTGCAGTTTTCCATGTCTGCATTTCGACTGCTCTCAGCGGATTACCATTTCTTGCCAACGGAGGGATGAAATCAGCTGGTCGAAGACCTTCTGCTGAGTTTTCGGCCATTTGCATTAGTGATCTTGAGTTTAATATCGTTTCAGTTTCGGTAACTGTTATGACCAATTCTTCGTTTAAAAAACGTCGTTCTACCGTGCGATTGAATGCTGTTTTTGTAATCCTAATCAATCTTTCATACAATCCACCCTGTCACGGCGCACGTGGAGCAATCCACTGGATTCCCCTTCACTGCAATGATCCATCAGTGTTGGATCCTCTATGTCGCGAACTCTTGCAGTCCCGACTAGCTCGCTCGCAATTTTGAAACTAGGCGCCTTGTCACAAACGATTTGTTTCGGTGTTCCGCGTCTAGCTATGATGTGTCGTGTGACTTACCTGGACCAACAATTGAAACTTGATGGAACTGGTCCCGATTGCGGAATCAAAAAGAACCAGCAACGCTAACCAGGAAGTCAGCCAAAAGCCCCAGCAGCCAATCAACCAGTCGACGCAGCACCCAACAGCAGCCCCAGACGAACCGTCGAAAACGAGAGAGAAAGAATCCGGCCTCTAGGAGCCGTTAGCTTATATAGCCTCGCTAACAGCAATTCATTAGCGAGGCCTCACAAAAACTCAAATTCCGCTAACGGAGATCCGTCAGCAGATGTGCAAACACATAACACAAAAAAAAAAAAAATGATTATCACAGAATCATGTTCTGTCTGAAGTTTTTTTCTTTAAAAGGAAACCACATCGCACCCACGAAAAAACGATGAATCAGCCTCCATTTGTACTTCCATCGCGGTCGTCGCGACAAGCTATGAATCGCCGCAAAATATTCAAAAAGGCCTCCGCTCTTGAATCTTTTACCACTTCTAGATGAATTGCTGTAGTACTCAAGCAGCGCAATTCAGCGCTTCGTTGACGCTTCAGGTCCCAAGATTCTGATGTTAACTGGTCCGAAGTGGTCTAACCCCACATTTTCAAACACCGAATTGCGCTGCACTCGTTCGTCCGGATAAGCTGGATAGTGAGGCAATTGAAATGGTTTCTGGCTCCATTTTCGGCACTCCAGGCATTCTTGTTTGACGGTTCTTTTTACTGTGCTTCTCTTCTCGATCCAAAATCTCCTCAGCTTTGCCACTGTTTGATTGATCCCACTGTGCAGTAATTTTCCATGCACATTTTTTATAATGAACGTCATAATCTAACTCCTTTTTGGTAAATAAATTGGGTGTATATTGGAAATCGGCAAATTCGCTTCAGTCAATCGTCCGCCACACCTCAAAATACCATGATTATCTTCTAATAGCTGCCATTTTTTCAATCTTGAGGAGGAATTTCTTCTTTTTGAGCTTCTCTGAAGAGAGTCTGTTCAGCTAGTGAATAGTCTACTGCCACTGTTGTGTTTCTTTTTGAAATACCTTGAACTGACTGTAAGGATTCCTTAGAAATTCTCTGCACAAACTTGAGAACAAGAACGACGGCTCGAGTTAATTTTTTCCAGCTGCTGAAACGTTTGATGTCTACTAGCAGTTCTCCATCTGGCTGTTCTTTGTTTATATTGATTGTTACCAGTCTCTTATGGCTTTCATCTTCTTCGATTTCCTTTATTTCCTTATCTGATTTGCAATCTTCATTTTCCGGTACACCGGGTCATTTTGATTGTTCCTTGCAAATATTGTTTTAATTATTATTTTATTATTTTATCTCTAAGTGATTCCAGTGGCTTGCACAATTATTATTTTATCGTTAAATGATTCCAGTAGCTCACGCCAATAACTGCTCCGAAATAAAGTTTCAAAATCGCCGATCACAATTAGGCCCTGCCTGGCACCGGATAGAGCCACTGCCGCTCTTAGTGGACCTTCAACGAAATCTAGGTCAGGATTATCGGCTGATGAAACTCCCCTCGTAATGTGGATTTGACATGTGATTATCTCCACCTGCGATGGTAGCACTGCATAAATCGGGTTCCATTGTTTGCTTAAAACAAACGTGACGCCGTATGAATCACTGAGTTGCGTCCCTGGAGGTAGCACTGAATTAGTGTTATAAACTTTCTGAGTGCCTCTGTCGTTGCGGGAGTAATACAGCTTGAAATGCTGGAGTTTGTAGCGTGCGCAGTTATTCAACGCTTGCTTGCTGCACAAAAGAGTGGCCGTTCTACCACTAAGTTGATCAACCACCGTGACTACTCTGCCACCACACGGATTGCATTCAATTGTGAGCTTGACTGCAGTTGTTCGCCGTGGTCGAGTAAGTTTTATGAGGACCACCCAGGCATTTGGCCTGATGTTCCTGACGGGACGTTGACAACAATAAGGCTGCGACAGAATTTGCTTGAAGCCCTTAAATTCGAGTGGTAGGCCGGTTGAGTTATATGCGACTGCATGATTTGGACGCGGATGCCTCTCGATGGACTTTTGGGCGATTGTTACATTGATTATTGGTCGGCTAGACTCTGCAGTAGTGATACTACGTCAAGATGAGTGTTTATGATGGGGGAAATTGTGTTTATATTGTTCATGGTCGGGCAAGCGGGTAGCATACACTTTCGTGACACTCAGAGGATAAACAAATATGTGACAGTCTGGAGAGCTGTCACCAACCCAATTTTGATTTCTTACCTACATACATTGACATTCTTAAACAATTTAGGGCTAAAGAGAAAATATGGAAAGAAAACGAGGACAAGGGTATTAAGGAAATATTAAAGTGGGTGAGAAATGTTTCGGTCCATTAAGTTGTATACATTTCTTACCGCTAGCACAATTGAACCTCGTCAGTATGACGACTGTGGTAACAGAATTTAGTAAGATAATTCAGCAAGATGGAAAACTGAATAAGATAGCTGACGTGTAAGGGAAAGTAAAGAGTTTTTAACAAAAACCATTAGTCATTATTTGATCTGTTATACGACAAATCTTATTATAAAGTTGTTCATATTTCTCCTTGACTAGTGATTTGAAATGTTATATCCAGGAAGTTAACCATAACACCGTTACCTGTTATTTCTAATTGCAGATCCGCACCATAAATAGAAGTTGGAAAGTTAGTAAAATTTTCCATGTGTATAAAAAGTAAGTCGTCAACATATCGACACATTAATAGTGGAGGGTTGGTATTTATAATTGAATATTCATATTCTAAAATAGCTAAAGTTAAGTCAGTGATATCTGGACTCGCTGCATCAGCAAGCTTCCCGCTCAGCTCCTCGAACATTTCCTCGGCAAACAACAGTCT